TAGGAGCATTCTTTGGATATTAGTGGTCAGTGTTCACATGTAAAATGTAGTGTTAGTGAGAAACTTGAATAAATCTAATAGTTCGAAGATGTTTTCACAGCAACATAAATGGATATTAGGAACTATGTCCTGTTAAAGCTATCTCTAAACAGCTTCTCCTCCATAAGAACTATTACTGACAATCCTTTAATTCCTCATCATTTGAATTGTGTGCCTTAATGAAAAACCATATAAATGACTTTAACATAGTAAAAGGATAACATTTAGAATTGTTGATGGGTTACACTGACTTTAGAGTCGTTGAAATGATTTTTGGGACGGTGGCAAAAAAGTCTGAAGCCTTGTAGACCAGCGGCTATAATTAAATACAGGGATCTGTATCTGCCAGTGTGGATCATCAATTGACTAAAAACTGACTACAGGACATTAAACCCATTGAAAGCCAGGATGAATATTATTTTTGTATTTATGGATGGTTCATTCCTTAGAAATCCAGTGTGTTGCTCATTTCTACGGCATTATTTCGGAGGTACATGACCGTTAGTGGTGCAACAGATCATAAAACTCACGGATTGGATCAGCACAAAAGAAAAAAGGAGCAAATATCACTTTTAGATCCCTGATCATGTTTTTCTGCCGCTGATACTAAATGCCGATCATTGATGATCCGTACTGGCAGATACAGATCCCTCTGTTGTTTGATTATAGCAGCTGGTCTACAAGGATCCCGTCCCAGAAACAATTTCACCCGCTCTGAAGTCAGCAAACCATCAAAAGTTCTAAATGATATTCTAATGATTTATTATAAGATGCCTAGAGGTAGTGTAAACGGGTTGTCATTTATCTCTAATATCTATTTATGTTTCTGTGAAAACATCTCCCACATTACATGTGAACACATCAGGATAACGTTATCATTTACCTTAGCCCAATTCTCCTCTTCACTGAGCAGAGCCTGAACGCATCATAATGGAACTGAGCAGAACCTTCATGCGTTAGCCGTTAGCATATGTAAGATCAAGAAGACTCCAATAGGAGCATTGAACTACTTTATATTCATGTAATGTACAAGACACCGTCGCTATTCATTTTATAGACTGTTAAAGAATACGCTACAGCTATTTTGAGTGCTTTTCATCTTACAGTATTGTAGAAGTTAAATTACGGGAGCATAGTATAGAATAGCTTATTTGAGGCCCGCTCCAGGGAGCATTACTTCTTGACGAAGGCGTCTTCAACCACAGCTACTGTCCCTGTGAACATTTGTGTTGTCACTTGCTTGTTTGAGTAGACAACACAAGGTAGCCGGAGGAACGGGAGATCATTAACGCTCGGTACATTTTTGCTGCTGTGTCTTGAAGGCTTGGTTTTCTGCAGCTTGTCAGAAGCTTAAAAAGTTTTTCAATGAGAGAATAATTTTTCCCGTCATGATTAGGGTTGGGTATCGTTTGGGATTTTTCCGATACCGGTGCTAAAACGATACTTTTAAAACGATACCGTGCCTAAACGGTGCCTGAACAGATACTTTTTTCTTCAAATTGAACAATATATTAACTGTTAACAGTTTACAGTATACTTAAATAAATATAAATGAATACAAAACACACACACTCTGTACACTCACTACAGCTTCAAACTTCAGCAATTATTTTGCAGAAATATGAGCATATTTTCCTTCTCTGGCAAAATACAACACGTCTCATGACTTATTTTATTTTACCAGTTGGTGGCGGTAATGTGCCAATTTGTCGTTTGCCAACCGCCACTACACCTCAAAGAAGAAGAAGCTTTCGCGTGCCTGTGGATGTTGTGCTTATGAGCGGCAGCGCTAAGTACACCGTTGTAATAATACTATGAGTGAGGAGCGGAGGACCGAGTCCTGCTGCCAGGACGGAGTCATCAGAGTAGTGTAAAAAAAAGTATTTCAATCGGCTCAGGCACCGCTTTTCGGTATCCAACCCTAGTCATGATTTCAATGTGCACGCAGCAGCCTCGGGTAGCCAGCCGGAAGCAGACGGGTTAAAGCAAAGCCGAGAAGTAGCATGTTGATTTTCTCTTTCAGACCGACATCAACCTTCCCTACCTGACAATGGATGCCTCTGGTCCCAAACATCTCAACATGAAGCTGACCCGCTCTCAATTTGAAAACATTGTGGCTGACTTGATCCGACGCACTGTGGCTCCCTGTCAGAAGGCCATGCAGGACGCCGAGGTGTCCAAGGCAGACATAGGGGAGGTGCTGCTGGTTGGAGGCATGAGCCGTATGCCCAAGGTACTTATCACAGTATGACCTCTGATACCAAACGGACGAACAAAGATATTTTAGTAAAGTTTATTTGACATAACGAGGAGGACATTAAATAACATGCAGCTACAAAAACGTCAAGGATGACACCAATCCCAGTAGGATAAGTTAACGTGAAAAATGCATTGACATCATTAATGTATAAATTGACACCCGGTCTTCCTCCATGCCTCAGAGCACGGAGCTCAAGCCTCAACACAAGCTCAGCAGGTGAGTTTTGAGTGGATGAGCATGGCAGCTCCTTGTGGCGTGGAGGAAGACTGGGTGGCGTTCAGATGCGCTGCTGTGACACAGAGCCGGTGTTATGACTATTTATGCTGCCTCGATGAAAAATGCTGGTTAAGTGGTTAGGATATGGGGAGCTTATTTTGATACTTAATTACAAAAGGTTTCAGGGGTAGCATACTTTGTTTGTGCTGCATTATATACTATGACAATATACACTTTGTCATAATGAAATGAACCGAAGTGATCTTTTTGAGGACAATGTATAGTTTAGATTACTCGACTAATCAGTAAAATAGTTGATAAATAGATTAAAAGTTATTGTTATGGGCAGACGTAAATCTAAGACAGATTTCCACTGTGGTCCTTGATGTAAAGATGAAGGTGACATTATACTGTCAACAAACCAACACAATCCCTAAAATGGAAACATGATTACAGGGTTCTGTGGCAGGAGGTAACGGTCACAAGTTAGAATGATCATCATTGCTGTTCTAGTGTAACGTGAGGCGTTTGTCTCTGCAGGTTCAACAAACCGTTCAGGATCTGTTCGGCCGCGCTCCCAGCAAGTCCGTCAACCCCGACGAGGCCGTCGCCATAGGAGCAGCCATCCAGGGTGGTGTTTTGGCCGGTGATGTCACTGATGTGCTGCTGTTGGATGTGACACCGTTGTCTCTGGGTATTGAGACCCTTGGCGGAGTCTTCACCAAACTCATCAACAGGAACACCACAATTCCCACCAAGAAGAGCCAGGTACTGGAAGCAGCTGTGCAGGCTGTCAGAATGAACCATTTGCCTCTTTCTATTGCCTCTGATCTGTGTTGTCAGTGCAAACTTGTTTTAAAGTAACTCTATCTGCTCTCCTCCAGGTGTTCTCCACAGCAGCTGATGGACAGACTCAGGTAGAGATCAAGGTGTGTCAGGGAGAAAGAGAGATGGCAGCAGACAACAAGGTGCTGGGTCAGTTCACCCTGGTGGGACTCCCCCCCGCTCCCCGCGGTGTTCCACAGGTTGAGGTCACTTTCGACATTGATGCCAACGGCATCGTCCACGTCTCGGCCAAGGACAAGGGAACAGGCCGAGAACAGCAGAGTCAGTATCATTCATTGAACTGAAGATACATTAATGGCATTTTGTGGATATTAGTTCTGAACATAGTCTTCAGTAAGAATAAATGAATTCTCAATGCTAATGCTAATGTAGCAATAACCACTGAGGACTAATCAGTTATGTCTTTCCAATAGTCAATAATATTGGCAACAAAATGTTGCTTCAGTAAACCTACATTGAATATTTGGCCTTAAGGTTTATTAATGAAACAGCATTTTGGGAGCTTGGCTCCTTGTGTCTTTGTTTTAAATAGCAGATATAAATGTCAAACTGCTGCGTATTGAGGGTCTAAACATGTTGTCTCTGCACTCTGCTCAGTTGTGATCCAGTCATCAGGAGGTCTCAGTAAAGATGACATCGAGAACATGGTCAAGAATGCTGAAAAGTACGCAGAGGAGGACAGGAGGAGAAAGGTAAAGACTGGAAAACAGTGAAGTGGATGAACAAGATAATGAGTCTATGCATTTTAAGGAGGGAAACTCTTTCGTGAGTTCACAGCATTTCTACACAGCTCCATATTGTGACCATTTGTGTACGTGGTCACATTGATGCAAGTGCATGATGATCGTTATGGACATCAGCCTCGCTCTATTACATCTTTACCTCCAAAGTCATCTAGAGCAGTGGTTCTCAACTGGTCTGGCTGCGGGACCCACCATCACCCCTTAATGACAAGCCGCGTCCCAAATCGAGGAAAATGTTCAACTTCTCAAATGTATTTAATGTAAAGATGGTGCAGTTTGAACCTGAGCTGAAGATGTCCTCTGCAGTCGTAGTGTAGGGAGCTCTCTTGTGCAGAGAAATTGTTCCTGTCAGTCCCCGTCCCACACATGTTTCACGTAAATGAGTAAAACTGTTTTGTTTGTTACGTCTGTAGATTCGTCCATTTGTAATGCAAAATGACCACTTGCCTGAATTAGAGCTGTGGTCTGTTGTTTGATGTCATCCGACATGTCTTCAATCCGTCTACTTATAGTGTCATTTGACAGAGGTATAGCTTTCAGTTTTCTTCAGGCAAAGGCCCAAAAGTGGGTCGCGACCCACCGGTTGAGAATCACTGATCTAGACCGTTGAGCAGTTGCAAGCGTCTGGATTGTCACTTCTATGGATTAATACCATGCTGTCCCAAGAAAAGGGTGCGACAAAGAAATCATGTGCATTTCTTGATTTCCAAACAAAGAAGCTGACTCACTTTTTCCAGACGATTTGCTGGTGCAGGCTAATGACAGCGAGTCCTACAGCTATTTCTATTACTGTGTCGTTAATGAAGTAGGTCGGTAGCATCAAAATTCATACCGTAGGGCAAGTTCATACCGACTACTGTACTTTCTTTTTATACCTATCTGACATGTCTTGAACACTCTCAGGTATCGCACACGTATTCTCAGTTGGTCTACCAGTGGAAAAGTTGGTCTGGATCCCTGCTACATATTAATTGTCATTCACTGATCTATTTAATGCTGTGTGACTTCAAACCAATGCTGTTGTCTCCTTATAAGCCTCATTTTATTGTGCACAGGACCGAGTGGAGGCTGTTAACATGGCTGAGGGCATCGTCCACGACACAGAATCCAAGATGGAGGAGTTCAAGGACCAGCTTCCAGCTGATGAGGTTAAACTTAAATCTTTATTTTTTTGTGTATGGGGAGGGGGGAGGGGACAGTATAAGCGTGGCAGGCCCCAGATCAAAGCGCATGTATCTCAACAGATACCTCCCAGCCCGAGATGCACAACTGTCATATTTTTCAATATTTTCTTTGGGTATTCAGTGGAGGCTGAATTTCAGTAGCATACTTGTATGTGCAATTTGCCCTAGTAATACAGTTAAAAGTACAGGAACAGCCGTTTTTAGGAGAAACTAATATATTCCGTTACCCCCGTAACATTTAGCACCCAGCACTAATTCTTGGGGATCGTGGTACATGTGTGAGGCAAAAGGAGGGGATGAGTGGAATTAAAAGTTCTACTCATTTTGTGCTTTGGTTTTTAGATAGTTTTCTTGGTGATGATTCGTACTTTGGAGAGTATTCTCCTAGATGTATTGTGTGTGTTGGGTATGTCCTCATGTTGGCAGAGTGATGGGGAGAGGTTGTCAGGCTTTCTCCATCAGAACTGTTTAATTGGTGTGCAGTCCCATGTGGCATACATGTAGGTGTATCTGGTGTTTTGTGTGAAGTGTGCTCTGTAAAACTCCTTTTAAACATTATTTTCCTTGTTTAGTGCACTCTGTAAATTCTTCTAATGAAAGAGTTACTTTTCTGTGCTGGTGGATGTAGAGAAGATGTTTTAGTTTTAATAAGTCGGCACAGGGTGGTCTGTAAGTCTTGTTCCCATATTTCTGAAGGGATTGATATTGTTAAGGTGGACATGGAAATCATCTTGTTTATTTCTGGTAGTGATGTTGAACTGGCCTGAGGTAACTGGGCGAGGATCTTAGTTAAATGATTCGATTGGTAGATTCATCTAACGTTGGTTGTCCTCTGCTGTTTTGAGGAGTGGGTTGAAGACAGCCTATGATATTACCAGTGTGCAGGGAGGGGCTGAGTGTTGGACTGCCACATCCCAGCTGTTGTGTCCGAGTGGGAGACTGGTGGAGTTCAACCAGTTGATGGTGTAATCTGAGATTGTGTTTATGAAGTGGATGGCTTTGAGTAATGAAGACAAAGTATTCTGTAGATCAAGTAGAACTGCGTAAAGCCTGATCATACAGTGCACGTTTTAGTTTGGGTTCCTGTGATTCTGTTTATTGGATGCTGTGAATAAAGATGAGAGTGGGCATCCTTGCCTTGTACCCCTGTGCAGAGTGAAGCATTGTGATAGTAATCCATTTGTAATGAGTTCATAATCCTAACTCATTGGATAAATGATTCACCAAAACCATTGTTTTTAAAAATTCCCAATTTACTTGATCAATGAAACTATGGCTGTTTGTGAGATGTGCAATGGATTACGTTCAAATGTTAAATGGGTTATTAGATGAGTGTCTTCCTTTTAATGTCTTAGTTTGGTCTGAGTGGATGATAAACTGAGTAACTGTTTCCATTTGTTAAGTGTTTTATTAAAAGACCGATTATAGCAGGGTTCATGATGATGGGAAGTTTGAATTGTTGCTTTATTTCAGATGTTAATCTATTGTAAACGGGGGTTAGTGTGGCGGTGGTATTATTCCAGGGAAGGAATTCCACTTTTTTTTTAATTCAATGAGTAGTGCTCATTGAATAAAGATGTATTAAATTGCCATCTGCTGGATGGTTTGGGAGAATAGTTAATGTTCTAGGTGAGGGAGATGGGAGCGTAATAGTAAAAAGGTGTATAAGTATGTCTGTCTGAGATTTGCTAAATAATGTAGTTACTGAAACCTGTTGACGGCGGCCGTCGGAGTGTTAACTGTACATCTGTTATGTACACAACTGCTATTTATAGGTAGGCACTGATGCGACATGTCTTTGGAAAGCTAAGATTCTTATAATTCGATTTATGCAAGCTATTTTTAAGATGCAATCACGACAGCAGGTACAATCAACGCCTCTGTCAGACCACCAACCCACAAACAAACATTTACACAATCGAGGCAAGTCAAAAATGAAGCTTGATAGTATTCCACCCCTCGATAATATTCCAACAAAAATGGTCTTGTTACATTGCCAAAGGTCCAGACAATCCAATCCAGTAAAATATTTAGTCCAAAACACATTACGTCCATAAATACCCATGGACTGATGTTGCATCACTTCAAATTAGCCGGCAGATATGCCTGTCTATGTATTTTCGAACGTAACTTCAGTTCGCATGTAAACACTGACGCTCTCTGGATCTCAAAATGGCGGCTGCACTCTGACCTTTAGATTGACCCAATAGGAGCTTCCATGTCCTGTCTACAGCCTACAATAGCCAACGAGAGTCCGCGTTGAAGGAAAGTGCCTGCCCCTCTTCTTTCGTGTAAAGCTCGAGCCAATTGCAACCGATCGTTCTGATGACTGACGCTTCGTATAGCCAATGAAATTTTGACAATAATGATATGCAGCTTCAGGGGTTAGATTTAGAGGCAGAACGTGGAAGTCACTGTTGAAACCGCGAGTCAGGTCCCTGTATCCGTGCGCTAAATTCAAAGTGTTGTTTTTGAGAGTTTTGGAGAATTTAGGAAAGTAAATAATGGTGAAATAACTTATAAATTACTGTATTTAGACATAAATAAGCTTTAGTTTGAATTATGAATACACATTTCTACACAGCCTATGTATGTTACTATGGTTACCATGGGTCCCCAAATGTCCTTTTTTGGAAAGCGCCTAGACATACCCTTAGTAAAACATGTGTAAAATATAAATTTTCTGTGGTATTGTTATCAGAATTGAACTTGGTCTAGGTAAGGCTTCATGCTGTGGTCCCATTGTGCTTTCCAGCTAATAAGTCCCAGCTATAGTCATCTGTAGTCATCTGTTTGCAAAGAAATATTCAGGCGGAAATAAAAACCTTCTACTTCAGTGTGTTCAAACTTCTATTACTCAATGCCAGCAGCACTTACAGTGGTTCTGACTGTTGGGGGGGGGGGAAAAACTTCAGTGTTACCTTTCAAAAGAGATCGAAACCATGCATGTACTTCAAATGGTTCAAGAACAGCTTTCAATTTGCTTTGGGTATGCCTTGGATAGGCGTTTTAGGCTCATTTTGCTGGAGTGGTAACAGGTTAAAAATAAGTCAATATGAGGAGTGATTAACTGGTGAGAAGAATGAAAATTGTCCAGCGGTCGTGTGTTATCTCTAGACCAAAATCACTCATGAACTGTTGAAGGGTTACTGTGCTTTAGCAGTTAAGGATGCTGTCTGAATGGTTAGACTGTCTACTGATGGCTTCATGATTGTGTTTTAATCTTCTCTGATGATTGGAGAGTCAGACAGACGGGGAGAGAGGCAAAACAAGAGTTGACGAAAGGATGAGATCCCTCTTTGCCTGCAGTTGAAATGGGCAAAGATGGTTTGATTGAATTGTGGCGTTCTTGATTTTGGTAGTGTGATTTCGATGTATACGTTTCTTGAAGGCATATGTCTGCTTGTATTTTTTAAAATGTTTTTGAATACCCTAAATATTCTCGCCTGTGCACCGATTCCACAGATGTTCCAATGACAAATTTCAGTTCATGGAGACCAGATCTGTGAGTCAGTATTGTTGACAGTTGTGAGTGTGTTTATGGTTGATCGGGGCCCCTCATCCTTCCATTCAGAGGACTACGATGCGATTATAAAACCATTATCGATTCTTCTTGATGCATCAACATTTTTCTATACCTGATTTATTTTCTCTCACTTTGTAAAGAGTTATAATTAAAAAAACTGATGAATTTACTTCCACTATCTGTTATTAAACAAATATTGGCAACAAATACAAGAGATGTGTCAACTGGACGGTTACGTTTCCAAGCATTGTAAAGGGAAGCAACAGGAAAATAAATAAGTGTGCCTATAGCAGCAATCCTAAAACACATAATTCAGCATTTTCTGAGTCATTTGCCCTTATTCACAAATGTTGGGAACGAAAAGGAGCGTGTTTGATTTATCAGCATCAAAGAAAAATAAATCATTGACATCAATAGAATTATTAATGTCAGTAAGATTATTAATAACGGGGTACCACCCTGCGAACAGGGACCAATAACCAAACTATAAACTAAGTCTCATAATTAGTGTTCACTCACAATGTCAATAGTCTGAGTACTATTACACATTCAGAGTGAAAGTGAAGGTTTAAGTACGAGCAACAGACCACATATCAGATATTATCACAATACATGCACAAAGTAATCACAGACAGCTGCTCTTTAAAATATAACAGTTTATTAAGTTCTAATAATAATGATCTAGTCAACTAACATCTAAACTAACAATACATTTATGAGCATGCAATCTGAAATCAACAAACTATGTAAAGTGTGTGTGAGAGAGAGTAAAAGAAGAGAGAAAGCAAACAAAAGGGTCCTCCAAAAGCAGATTTAAGATCCTCCCCACCACGGTGGTGTACGGAAGATTTCTCTCTCAGCTCCAGAAGTACAGCCGACGCCTCTTTGATTAGCACAGCTGCGTTTCTGACCTCCGAACTGATGAGAAACAACTTCCGCATCCGCGAGCGGTGAACCATCTCAACACTAATTGCGGCAGTATTGAAATACACAGCATTAACGATCTCTGCGATTGTTGAGCATACACCACGTTATAAAAATGACAGTAACTTAAGCAACACAAACAAGATAATAAACACAAAAACCTGAATGTAGCCCAGACACCGTAAGTAGCTTACTATGAGGTGGTTGATTGTGGTCCTTCTTAGTTTGTCGGTGGAACTCAGGCACCTGTGCAGCGCAGCAGATTCTCTCTGTGCGTCAGAGAATGTCTTCGGCTCAGTAAAGGAATTCCCGTCCTTACGGCTAGCGCAGAGTCGACTTGGGTGGAGAGGAGAAATGTACTTCTCTCTCTGAAGAGTCGGTCTCTTCCCTTCTGCAGGAAAATGGTTCGCTTCCTCGTCCAGGATGCGAACCAAAACAGACAGTCCAGTAGATACATCCAGCAACTCTAAAACTGTTAAACCTAGGATTTCTTTTTAAGGACAGCAACGTTGCGTGTGCTTCCTTGTTGACCGAGATCGAGGTAAAGCATAGAGAAGGGGGGGGGGGGCAAGGCTGTTTTATAGAAACAGGGTCAGAACCACAGGGGTGTCTGTGGCTCTCGGCCAATTAGAACGCAGTGTTGCATGTTTTATTGCTTTCACGTTTACATTGGTGTTATCACAAACTCAAACAGGATCCAGGTTGCCCTGCAAAAAAGGAAGGCCTGACTTCTTTGTTTCAAAGCACAATGTTGAGGCCACATGGTCAGACCCAACACAAATAAGTAATAAAAACTTCTCTTCAAACAAATCCTCCTGTTAAAGGCAATGAGCATTCAGCTCAAAAATAACGCTTTCCGGAACATGTGGTTAAAATGTACATACAGTGATTAAGTAGGCACTAGATTCTGTGGTAATGGATGTTACGCATAGCGTGCTACTGCCATCCTACCCGCTTTCCTCAGTGACTCCATGACTTTAGCTTTGGTTTGGTTGTAGAGTACAGCTGTGTCAGAAAAAAGGTTGAGATGAATGTTGTATCTCGGTTCCAAAGTGTGCAACAGCGTGAAAGCTTTGATTCTCAATGACTGAGTAGGGGTTCAAACCCGTGGCAATAAAAGGTGCAATCTACCTTGTGGTTTGCTTCACAATAATTGTTTTTAATCCATCTTCAAGGTTTTATTTCCTGATTGGGAATAACATTTTACGTCTCGGGGGAATTGCTCCTTATGTCATAGGTACCTGTTTTAAATCGGTCTCTATGGGGCATGGGTGTTAGTTTGTGTAATTAGTGAAATGTATTGTAGAAAACAGTGTCCGGGTAAATTTTGAGGTGAGTGATCATTAATTCCTGAATCAGCCGTCCTGCATGCACTGTGGGATACCAGGAAAGGATTGTCTCATGCTGCGAAATTACAAATCGCTACCGCTGCGTGGCGCGCTACAAATCACATTTGAACGGGGGCCTGCTCCAGAGCAGGTTGGGTGTTCGGTGTACCCCGGTAAGAAGTGAACTGATGTCGCAGGACTGAGAACGCAGAGTTAACCCTGAAGTTAAAGTCCTGCTCTGTACTGTCTGGAGTTTTGGAGGGATTTGTTTTCTTATGTTGGTGCCATTGTTTGTTCCTGGTTGAATACCAGGCTTTCCTGTAGCTGCTGGAATTCCTTCAACAGAAGCTGTTCTTGGATCTAGTCCAGAGAGTTAGTCAATTGAAATCATCACTGTCCTCAGTACAGCATGATTTATCAGAGGTGTGAATGGAGTTGCATTACCAGGATCTCTTGCTGGTTGCAGTGGAGGGGAAGTTGTACTTGTCTCGTCCTCTTTGGCGCAAAGTTGGTTTTAACATTCATCAATCTAGTCTTCCCGATCGATTGGTTGTTATTTCAAATAAAGGGGTTTAATTTAGTTGTGTTTTGTAATCTAGCGGCCATCTTTAATCTCACACTGGTCTCATCTCTTCTACAGTAAAGGAACATCGTACGAGTGGTCGAGGCCACTCTTGGCCAGATGAGAAAAAAGCATCTAGTTGTATTTGCACACCTGCTCTTGTATAGTGTTTAGGGGCGTTACCTATGCTAATAATCAATCGGCCACACACACCTAAAAAGTATGATCAAGTGGGAATCGTCATTCAGCACAGCTGATTTGAATAACGACTGTTGCACCTAGAGTTGACTTCTCTTGTTTTTCTGTTAACGAAGAAGTTTAAGAGAAAGATGCTGCATGAGGCTTCATCATGTAGCAGTCTGACAGAGTGACTGTGATGCAGGAGGTAACCACAAACTGGAGATAAGGGTTTGAATCCTGCCATTATTATTAATGTTGTTAGTGGTGGTGATCCACCACTTTGTATTGCTTATGTCTTCAACACATGGCCCAGCTGTATTCACTCATGTTTCCTCTCTGATCTGTCCACCCACAGTGCACCAAGCTGAAGGAGGAGATCTCCAAGGTCAGGGATCTTCTAGCCAACAAGGACTCAGAAACAGGAGAGAACATCAAACAGGCGGCCAGCACCCTGCAGCAGGCCTCACTAAAGCTCTTTGAAATTGCCTACAAGAAGGTAGGAACACGACTGTTAAAGAGAACTATGTGCCAAAGGAAATGACAGCGTCCGTAACGTTTTTTTCTGTAGGACTGTCATTTATCAGGATGTTTTTCGGATTAAACAATTCATCTTTTGGTCTATGAAATCATGAAAAATACCTAAAGTGATAATATCCAATTGTTTGAGTCAGACCAAGACTTGGTTTACTATCTCATACCACAGAGAACAGCAGCTAATCCTCACATTTCAACTGTAACTAGGGACTGAGTGGCATTTTTGACCATAAACGATTCTTCTTGAAAATAGGTGGAGATTACTTTTTCGTCCATGGATTTCTAGATTAACAAATTGTTTTAGCTGGTATTATGCTTGCCTGAAGACAATTGACATTATTTAATGTTTGTTCAATTGGTACATTAGCAGACCTGCCACTATCTATTTTTCTACCAAATTAAATAGTTGTTACTGACAGAAATGATAAGAAAGTGAATAGGGAGTTGTTTAGCTGTAAAATACAGTGTAACAGCTTCAGTCCAACTATGCATGTCACTCAACACTAACAAATTAATTTCTTCCTGCAGATGGCGGCAGAGCGGGACGGTGGCAGCAGCAGCTCATCAGAGGGAGAGAAGAAAGAAGGCCAGCAGTAGACCTTTGCACTAGTCACTGGGTTTCCATGACATGGGGCTGTCTGGCTCGGCGGTGGACTGGGTGGGGAGGCTGGCAGTGACGAGCTGAATCTTAGTCATTCTCACCATAATATATTATTCTACTGTGTTTTGGCAGTACAATTCTTTAGTCAAAAGATGTATCGATATATGCTCCATGTCCTATGCTATCCTGTCAGTAATTTAATTGTCTCAAAAACAATGTAATGTATGATTATTTTTACAAAGCTGTTCATTTGCATTCTGAGGTAGTAAAGGTTATTTTTTGTGTGTCTAAGACATCATGTAGGCTTCGTGTTCTTTGGCTCCATCATCTGAAGCTTGTTAATTGCTCTGAACAATTTCTTTGAGCTGAGTTCAAAAGCTTGTACAGAGGACAGCCCTGCTTCGTCTACATACTGGAGCGTGATCGCACTAATTATAGCAATTTAGTAGTGATGGTGAGATGAAGCTTCATTGCTCTACTACTCCATCAGGTGGACAATAAATGTAAAACAGGCAGTGATTATAGTGACACCATGGATTTGAATAAATGAATGTTTGTGATGCTCGAATAGTTTCCAAACAAACGCGCAATAAAGTCCCAAGTCCACAAAATGTGAGGGGGGGGGGATCCATTGCGTTTCGCTGCTCCTTATATCTCGAATCACACACCAGACCCGTGAGCCATTTCCTGAATCAGTAGCGTGGTACGGCCGGCTCGCGAGGCTTAGAGCGCCACAAACACAAGCCTCGATACGCGCTTCGCAAAAATCTTCCTGGATTACTCGACGCACGTTTCGAAGCCTCGACACGGAAGGACTCATCACTACTATTTAGTTTTAATGGTGCATTAACAAGAACTTGGAGGTGGGAAGTTAAACAAATCTAATGTCTGTGTGTTAGGATGAGGTTGAGCTTTTGATTTAATTAAGGGAAGTCCTAGATCTGTAAGAAAGTCCATCTTTAAGTTCTTTGCATTCTCCTTTTATAGCATTCATCTTAAACAGCTGAGTTCGGACTCTGTGTGGAAATATTGCAGACTCCAGTTAACGGGTAAATCTGGATGTTGGCATTGCGCAATAGAGGATGAGGCCTTCTCAGTTCCGACAGTTAACCGGATGAAGAGTTGGGATGCAACAAACCGTCATTCCCCTCCAGTAGGAGCCGTTGCTGCCATAAACTGCTGAGTAATGCGATTGTTGCTACATGCCTGCCTGATGAGTGATCCAGGGTGCTCTACATATGAATGAGGCAGAGAGGAGGCACTACCAAATTGAACGTTTTTCTTATTTTTTTTTTTATTTTACTGAAGTGAAAATTGACAGTCAAGATAACTGTTTTTGTCTTTTCAAATAAAATCTGAAATGTGACCCCGGTTGGATAATAGTTGGTAGAATTGGAGCATGCTGTAGTTTTTCATTCTTAACGTAATATGGTAAGACTTTATAATAACTACACAGTATGAAGCATTAGTTAAGTATGAGTAAACACTTAATTCATCCTTTATAAAGCATTGCTCCTACATTAATACTCATTAGTATGCAGTTCATAACAGTTATAAATGTTTTATTTTTGATTAATAAGCTTGTCTATGTTTCATGATTGTTTTCAAACTTTATAAATGATGGATTCCCCATTTGTAAATGAAGTATTATACAAACCAATTATTAAGGAGTTGTAGATGATTAATACAATCATTTATAAAGTGTTAGTAAATGATTAATCACTTATTTAGATGTACAAAGTCCATCCTCCTTTGATTACAAAGAGTTTAATACTGCGGTTGTACAGAACATTGGTGTGGTTCAGTTCCAGTCAGAGGTCCTCCTGCGAACGTGTTCGAGTTGTAGATCCACTCGGGTCTCAGCAAAAGTTTTCAAAAGCACCGTAGCTTGCGAGTGTCCTGTCCTGGTGTCGTTTTGCTGCCTTGGTTAGCATAGCGTAGCTCCAAACACCACGACGCTCAGTCGCAAATAAAACACCATAAAATGTGCAACGCTTCTCCGACGCTGAAATACCGTTCGTACAAATCCTTTCCCATGCTGGCTCAGGGCTGCTAGCTGTGGGGTTGACCGACCCTGTCCAGCTTTTCCTGAAATTTTCCTCCTTTCCTGCTTTTCCTTCTTGAGAAATCCGTTTCTCCTCCTAAAAAAATAAATATCTACACCAAGCAAAACGCTAAAAATGTCATAACTTCTGACATATCTTTCAACTTGAACTGTTACTACTAATACTAACTTCTGCAAGCTAGCTTCAGCTTCACAACAGTCACGCTAGCCCACTGACCAATCACGGCGCACGTTAATGCTGACGTACTTGTAGGCCAGCTAGCAGGCTCTGGTGCGTCAAAGAATACGCCCAACATGTCAAACTAAAGATCTGATTGGTTGAACACTATGACAATCAACAATATCGTCCCCATTCACTTAAACTGCACATGGATTCACTTGTGAGTCTGCAGGCCTCGGGCCTCTCTTCTTACCTAGAGACACAGAGGTGAAATCTGATTGGATAAAAGCTCTACTTAAAACAAGCTGCACTGGAAGCAGAGCAACTGATGAAGACAGTACCTGTGCAATGAGAAAATAAGATAACGGGAAAATATATTTATAAATTATAATACATGTAGTGTATTTAAGAAAAATTATTAAATGATAAAATAGCTATAACTTTGTGATTCTGTTTAGGCCAGCAGAGAAGGCCTTGCAGGCCCTGATGGCCCACCACTGGTGTAATGTATATAATAGGCATAAACTAATGACGAACTTAGCGTTCAGTGCTTCATAGCCTGCCATCACATTAAACTGAACCATGAGGACATGGTGAACAATTGGGTCTCATGCAGCATCAGCCTCTTTCATTTCTGTTAAAAGATACAAAATAAATAAGAAGTCATCTCCCAAATACACCAAACTTTCATAACTATCACATTTTGCTTTTACCCAGGTGTGTTGAGTGATGAATGCCACTTGATCATAAATTGGAGTCTTGTGGCCGATTGTTAGCATAAGTAATGCTTCCTAGACACGACATATAGGCAGATGTTGTGCTGTGTGCAAATAATCGGTTTGAGATTTCCATCAAGAAAATTAAATGTTTTGGTTTTCTGAAATGTTTTTAAAGGCTTTATTTACTAAAAATGTATATATGTAATGTCTGTCGAATGTTGCCTATAAGTATCGAATACTGTTCCCTGAGAATGTAAGAACATAATTCTGACAAGGCTCAGGAAACCAGGCACCTCAAAAGAAAAAAAACAATTTTAATGATCGAAAACTTTTGATCATTTGTGTGTGGATCACAACAGAGACAGATCAGACTGGAGACTGGAGTTAAAAGTGACCAATCAGGGAGGTCAGACACACGGCACTCTCAGAAGTCAATTTAAGGAGCAAGCTGCAAAGATGTAGAGGAGCTGTGCCCACTTATTAGTTTTGCAAGTGCTTTCACATCGATTGCTTGCAGAATATCTCTTCTTGCACAAGTAATGTTGAAGCCTGCCAGGAGAGGACCATGGTTTGAACACATGCTGTAATCCCTGAGTGCACAACTACTATTCCTGTCGTGCTCGCAAGATATTCACCTGCTTTTCTTTTTGACCTAAAGTGGGCAGACCCAGTCGCAACTGTAATATAATTAGCTATTTCTGCTGCAGGCTACAATTTTGCTCATGCAAGCAGAGTGAGTCTGCACACAGGTGATGTGAAAGCAATGGCAAAAGCAATATGCGTGCGCTGCTCTGTAAAACTCTTGCCTGAGTTTGCATGTGTTTGCGACAGTTCGTGTGTTGAATCAAGTTAAAGGTTCATGTTATTTTTTATTATCTTTTAAGTTTCACCAGGAACTTGAATTTGTGCTGATTTTGACATTCCCTGTGGACTCCCAAGCACCAGAGTCCCTTTAGAAAACCCAATTTTCTCCCCCCTTCTCGCCAGCAGGCCTGCTCCACTCCCGGCCGGAGCAGCTGCCGCCAGGCAGCATTGATTTCGCCAAAATCATGGATAGCGAGCAATATAGAAATCTTCTCCCTATGGTCTCGTCTACTTCTGTGTTCTTGTGTGTGTCTAGAAATGGCTTGTAAAAATACCCCGTGTGAATATCCGCTTGGTCCCGATCGAGCGTTGTCTCATCACCACCAGGTAACAGGAGAGTTGCGTAAAGCCTAGCCCAGCATACAGCAAGTAAATGCTTTTCTAATATGTAGCTTTTCTAATACTACACGGATGGCAACCAACATGTTATCAGTTGCAACATGCTATCCAGCTATCTAGCTATAACCTGATACCCTCTCCACCCTCTGCTTTCAGAGTTCACTCACTCCCACGGTCCCCCACTTAGCAATGACAGTTACTCACACCATCACTGGTGAACCGGACCCCAACAGCAAGATAACATACGGAAACGAGCATGTAAATGTCTTTTATTGACTAATTCTTTTTACGAATGTTGACGATGTACATCCCGTTATAATTCAATGGCCATTTTATTCTCATAAGGGACTGTCCCTTATAAGGGACAAACGCCAGCACAACCCCACGTCTGTAAGAGGCTAATGTGTAAGCCAGTGTAACGAAGAAAGAAACTGCGTGCTGACATTGAGGACTTCTGAGAAAAACTGAGGAAAATGGAGACGGAGAGGGCAGCAGAACAAATCCTCCTGGCTGAAGAGCAGCTGAAGCTGACCTTTCCCAACAGGGCTTCACTGAGAAGAGTTCTGAAATGAAAGCTGATCAGCCTCTTCATTTGTGACTATGCAGAGTGAATAAAAACATCATTGAATCTTTTGTTTTCCTTTAAACTCTGCTTACAGCTGAAGCACAGCCACTCGAACTGCTGGTTTCAAAATTCCACCCTAATTCCACCTGGCCGGAAACAGTCCTCAATCCGGAGGATATATTGAGGGAGGGGGGGTCCTGGTTGTTTCAGTGATGTAGTGATTGTTTTGCTAGATGTTTGACAGCTAGTGGGAGTCCTAACATCAGTCCTGATCATAACTACCAAATATTTATTCATTTCAGTTGGACTTATGACACTAGAATTCCCAAAACAGTCTGAACTGTATGGTGATGCAACACAACAGGGCAACGAAGGAGAATTAAATGTGGACTCTTAAATATCAGATTTAAAGTGTCATCTAAAGCTGTGTTAATAAATGATTTAATATCAGATAAGCATATTGATTTATCTTGTCTTACTGAAACCTGGCTGTGTAATGAAGAATATGTCAGCCTAAATGAATCAACTCCTCCAAGTCATATCAATACTCACATTCCTCGAGGCACCGGCCGAGGAGGTGGAGTAGCAGCCATCTTTGACTCAAGCCTATTATTAAACTCTAAACCTAACGACAGCTGTTAAGTTGTGATTTTTCCATCCTTATTATGCTTACTACTCTCATTCAATTATTCATTTATATCATATGCATTGCAGAGGCATTACAACAGGCTTTATGTGTTTTTCAAGGATTCAAGGATCATTTATTGTCATTATGCAACACAGGGTTGCCCAACAGAATGCAGTTGTAACCCAAGATAAACATGACAAACAAAACAAAAACAGTTGTGCATTTTTATGAATTTGCATCACATCAGCAACAAAAACAATTCTCTGGGAAGATAATATGCCCGCCATCGTAACATAAAGAACTCAACATGGTGAAAACTGTAACGGGTTGTATATGGACCCAAATGCAACACACAGGATTCCAGAGATCTTTGGCTTTTATTACTAACTTCAAATATAGCAGGCAGAGTTCAAACAGGGTCAGGATCAGAAGGCTGGTGGGT